AATTAATCAAACGCATTAATAAGCTAATAATAATACCAGTGACAGCGTTACATAGACTTGTAAACTCTTTAAACTTTTTTTTCTTCTTTAGACAATTCAAGCTGTATTCTGACAAAATAGTGTGTTGGCAGTCTACAATCATAAATGTTAAAACTCAAACTTTTGCTAATTACTTACAAGAGCAAAATATTTTTAATTGTATCAGCTAGATTTTTACCGCCAATTAATGATAACTGTTTTACCTAAAAAGAAACAATGTATAAGAAACATTGAAAATGTTTATGACAATTTCAAATAAATATTGTAATAATATATAACATATAAACTATAAAATGAAACTCATCCATAAAAAAGTGATGTATTGGATATCTCCATTAGCAAAATTTTTATTCAAAACATTGAGTTTATTTTAACTTTTACATTGTTTAAAACCTTCTCCTGGATTATTAGAGAACAATGCAGTTCTATCTACTAAAATTTTTTTCATTTTAGCAAGTTGGAATATAAATTTTTTCTGAAACTCTGAAAACTAAAATATATAAGTGAAGCCATATAAATAGTATATAAAGTAGTAAATAGTACTTCTTATATATGGTTGAGAAGAGGTAGATTTAAACTGAATAATGCAAAAAATCTCAAGTTTCATGCTTAACCTTAAAAAATATATAAACAAGTAAAGTTCAAGAAAATTATAAGGTTTTTGTCTAACGCCAAAAACTGTAAAGAAACGCTACCTATACACAAACGCACACACACACATACATACACACACACACACACACACACACACACACATATATATTTATATATAAATATATAAATATATATATATTTATATATATATACTCCTAGATCTACTTTACGGTGACATGCGCAAAAATTCTACTATAAGGCGACATTGCAGTTTTTACCACAAAAAAAATTTTTTTTTTGCGCTATAACGACTTCACTCATTTTATAATTACTCCTTTGAGCATATTCTATTGAAATTAAAATAATTGCACTTCCCCACAGTAATATACAAAAAAAAGTGTTACCTTAACGTTTATTCTTTTGTTGATTTTACTCAGTTGCGTCACCTTAGAGTAAAACATCATTGTGAAAACTTATCAACTATGAAGGAAAGCCTTAACAGATGTTAGCGAAATTAATAAATTTAAGTTAATAAGACTTGGTTCTTATATAAAATAGTAAAAAACTAAGTTTTGTGTTTCGCTAAAGTAAAAAATAAGAGTTTTAGTGAAAAAAAAAAAAATATTTTTTATTCGCGCATTTTATTCGCACACTTCGTGCTAAAAGTTTAGAAAATAGTAAAATATAGTCGACTAACTCGTAAATTATGTTTTAATCATAAAAATAATTATATATATACATATAAAAACACTTAAAATCTTTCAAATGTACAAACTGTCACCATATGGCATTTGTAGGCAAATTTGCCGTTTTATACAATAAACACTCTCAAAACTGCCTTTTCCATATCTCCCCAAAAAAATTTTAGTTTGATCCAAAATTTATTTTTTATATTATTTAAATAGATACCTAAAGCTAGGTAAAGTTTAATTTATAATGCGCAAACAAAAAGCCATTAAATTTGAATCAGAAACGTTAAGGTGACCACAAATAGTTGCCTTAACACAACTGTCGCCTTATAGCGCGTTTTTTTAGCACGTTTTGTCGCCATTGAGTATATCTAGTGATATATATACATATATATATATATATATATATATATATATATATATATATATATATATATATATATATATATATATATATATATATATATATATATATATATATATATATATATATATATATATATATATGTATATATATATATATATATATATATATATACACAAATAGTACTGCGTACTATTGAAAGCAATCTGACGTCATACTGAAATAGCCTGCTGTTGGGGGCTTCAGTACATACATCAACTGACAAATAGCCTGACTCGCAGTGGAGTGGACAACAAAATATATACAATTTATTTATTCATTTACCTATTTCTACAGCAAAGATATTACAAATCTTTGCATATATATACATACATATATATATATATATATATATATATATATATATATATATATATATATATATATATATATATATATATATATATATATTTATATATATATATATATATATATATATATATTTATATATATATATATATATATATATATATATATTTATATATATATATATATATATATATATATATATATATATATATATATATATATATATATATATATATATATATATATATATATATATATATATATATATATATATATATATATATATATACACATATGTATATATATAACAGACACACAAATATCATTACTATTTTATAAAACGCAAAGTGAAAAGTCTTGGTACAATTTTAATACAATGTCTTTTGTTAAAATTCCCTCATTATACTTGTAACTTAGTTACACTTAATATATAGTGTAACTAAGTTACAAGTATAATGAGGGAATTAGTATATTATCTATGGCAGAAATAGAGTTTGAGGTTACTCGTGTGGGTTAGTATATTATCTATGGCAGAAATAGAGTTTGAGGTTACTCGTGTGGGTTTATTAATAATTGGTAAAATACAATGTTAAACATGTTGTCAAAAAATAATTTAGTAATCGGAAACTCATTGTATTTTAAACAATCTATGTTAAGGTCCCCAATACAGAATAACTTTTTTTGTTCTTTTTTGATTTTGAGAAAAATTTCTTCTAAATAATTAGAAAAAGTTTTAATATTACCTATAGGTGGTCTATAACAGGTAGAAACTATAATATTTTTTAAACTTGCAGTTTATGATTTCTATTGTAAAGACCTCACTATCAGGATTAGAAATGGTTTTCAAAATCTATTGTTTAGTTGATCATTAATTTAAAATTTTAAATTAAAATGTCGTTCACTTAGTAAAAAAAAAAAAACGTGTAGCGCTATTTTTTAAAATCTCGTGGAAATATTTTATCGTATTTTAAAATAGCTTATTTACCTTCGCTTCTTAGTTTTTTTTCTTAGACTTCTTCCCATATCTTTCTTCAATGATATATTGTTTCTTGAGCGAAGTCTTTATTTATGTATAGGCCAGTTCCGTTAAGTCCATTTACTGCGTTGAGAATTTTGTTCCTGTCTTGGTAATTTAAGAGTTTTAAGACAAGTGTTTTTGGTTTGTTATCTTTAAATTTTTTAGGATACTTTTTTTAAGTTCCTCAAGTTTACTTCAAATTATTTTTTCGATGTTTTTCTTTGTAAAGTTAGCATAAGTTTTTTTTCGGGGAGAATTTCGATGCGAACAAACGTGTTTTTAAAAAAAAAACTTATGCTAACTATTATTAAAAAAACGCTCAAACAAAAGCATTTAATAAAAAAACTAACACTTTTTTTTATGTAAACAGTTGAAACGTTTTTATATACGATAATACGGTTTCACCTAAAAAATAGTTTTTTTACGGTATAATTTACAGTATAGGGGAGAGTGGGGAGAAGTGGGACGCGGGAGAAGTGGGACACCCCTATAATTTTATTTTGCAGCAGCGCCTAATTACTGTTATTTAATGTAAACGCATAGATTTCATGTGCTCTTTTTATTAGACATCATTTCCCCTCCCTGCGCGTGTTGAAAACCTCTTTTTTTGAAAGTACCCCCAAAAAGTACTTTTGCTGACAGTAACTAGTAACTCATGTACTTTTGCTGACAGTAACTAGTAACTCATGTAGCCTAGTAACTCATGTACTTATTTATTTTCGACTGTTGTTGCAATTATTTTCTATTTTATAGGGAAATGCACTTATCATCTAACATTTAGTAATTAAATTTATATTTTAGCTTTAACTGTGTGGCTGTAATTTTAGTTTTATTTGTCTCCCCTACATAGGGGTGAAGCGGGACGGAGAAAAAAGTCGCTGTTCCGCTTCTTCTTTACAGTTTTGCGTTATTTTAATGCGGATATTTCTAGAACATTTTAGCTACGATTTTTTTTAGTTTTCAAAATAAAAATATTGATACGTTTAATTGAAATATTTAGTTTTAGTTTTAGTTCTTATACAGTTGATTTAAAACAAAATTTGTAAAGAGAGATCTTTATTAAAGATAAATTTGATTTGATTCATCATTATTGTTTGGAGCAAATTCAGAGGTCTTTTTACATCAATAATTTAAAAGCATTTGGAAAGCAAAAGGCATGCATAAAAGTTTTTTTAATCTTAAATACAATTATAATTTTGTAATAGTCTGATAAAAGATATAGTATTAACAGTAACCTTATATTTATATGTAAAGGTATTACATATAAATTTTTTTTTTAACACACCTAATTTCTTTTAAATTTCAGGTCATGCCTAGAGTTTATAAAAGTAAAAGTGAAACTCCACATGTTTCAGAAAACATTTTGAAGGTTGCTGTAGCTGAAGTGGAAAATGGGATGAGCCTTAAAGAAGCAGCATGTTCAGCTGGCATTTCTAAGTCTGCACTTCATAGGTGTATTAAAAAAAAGTGTCAATACCCAGCTGCTAATCTTCAACCAAATTATCAACATTCTATGATTTTCTCTGTTGCACAAGAAGAAACACTAAGCACTTATCTAAAGACATGTTCTGATATGTTATATGGTCTTACACCAGTTCAAGTAAGAGCTCTAGCTTTTGAAATGCAGCCGTGGCGCAGTGGTTAGAGTTCTGGCTCAGAACTCAGAGGTCCGAGGTTCAATGCCAGCTCTATCCCAACAAGCGACATTGGTACGGAAGGAGGCGTAAACTTCCTGTTAAATGCTCACCCGCGGTGCTCTATGATAAGACCGTAAGGACTTCTGGGAGCACCTAAATACATACAAAAAAAAAAAAAAAAAATGGCTCAAGCAAACAAAATAAAATGTCCCATGCCTTGGATAGAGCAAAAAAAGGCTGGTTGAGATTGGTTAACAGGATTTTTAAAAAGAAACCCAAAACTATCTGTTAGAAAACCAGAGGCAACTTCAATGGCAAGAGCATCAGCATTTAATCGGTATACTATTGATATTTTCTTTAACAAATTACAAAAAGGTATATCAGAGTCTAAAGCAACATCGTTTAAAATTTTTAATCTTAATGAGACAGGTTTTACTAATGAACAAAAAACTCCTCGTGTCATTGCATCAAAGGGAACAAAGCAAGTTGGGCAAATAACATCTAGAGAAAGAGGTGAATTAGTAACGGTGTGTTGCGTTGTCTCTGCAGCTGGTGTAGCAATACCCCCTGTTATTGTTTTTCCAAGAAAATTATTAAGAAACACACTAATGAGAGGAGCACCAGAAGGTTCTATTGGATTAGCCAATCAATCTGGATGGATGAATGCTGAAATATTTATTGATGTTTTAAAGCATTTTGTTAAGTTTGCTTGTCCAACAGCCGATCACAAAGTTTTATTGATTATGGATAATCATGAAAACCACCTTTCACTACAGTCACTTGATTTGCAAAAGAAAACTATGTTTGTATGATGACTTTGCCACCACATACTTCACATAAGACACAACCTTTAGATAGGTCTGTTTTTGGCCCAATGAAAACATATTTTAATGCAGCTGCCAATAGCTGGATGCTTAGCAATCCAGGAAAAACCATTACAATTTATGAGATGGCCAGTCTCATTCGACAAGCATGGGAAAAATCTTCCACACCAACAAATACTATGTCAGGATTTCGCGTGACCCGAATTTGGCCTTATGATAGACATGTATATGGGGATAATATTTTTTTACCATCAGTTGTAACAGATAGAGATGTGCCTCAAGAATCATACAGTGAAGGCTCATGTAAGAAATCGATTACAACTGCTACTCCTTCAGGTATCTCAGGTTTGGATGCGCAACATGAAGCAGTAAAAGAAAACTTAACTGTAAAAACTCTCCTGAGATTGTACGAGGTTATCCAAAGGTAATTTAAACTAAATATTCTTAGTTTAGGTTTTCTTTAAATTCTATGGTTATATAATACTATAATATATATTTTGCAGGCACCTTCTCTTAAGATTTTAAGACGTGGACGTAAAAAGGGAAAGTGTATGATAGCCACATCTACACCAGAGATTTTAAGAATAAAGATGAAGTATTAAATAAAAAAAAAAGGTAAAAAAATTGTCTTTCTAAAATCCAAAAATGCGAGGAAAAACATGTTATGCAAATCGAACAGTGACCTTGATGTAGATTTCAACAAAATAACAAATAATGTTTCTGGTAATTGTTACTCGCTAGAATTTGAAGAAGAATTGGAAACTGTTTCTTTAAGCACTATTCAAAATGTGAGTGTCAGTGATTATGTTCTTTGCGAATTTTGTAGTAAAAACACCATTTCTTATTATGTAGGCATACACTGTTAAAAAAATATCGCGTTTTTTACGGAAAAGTTCCGGCAGCTGCCAATGACAAAACCTCCCGTTATTTTACGGAAAAACCCATTGCATGTAAACGGAAGTTTCCGTAAATAAAGGGATATTTCCGTTTAAATATAATGGATTTTTTCCGTTAAATAACGGGAGGTTTTGTCATCGGCAGCTGCCGGAACTTTTCCGTAAATAAAGGGATATTTCTGTTTAAATATAATGGGTTTTTTCCGTTAAATAACGCGAGGTTTTGTCATCGGCAGCTGCCGGAAATTTCCCGTAAATAAAGGGATATTTCCGTTGAAAATCAACTGGTTTTTCCGATTAAACAACGGAAAGGTTGTGGAAACTCAACTATTGGATAATTTTCGCAGTTATAATGTTGCAGTTATATTCCGTTCATATGAAAATTTAAAAAGTGAGCATTTTAGATATAAAATAGACAGATGTTATCGATAATATTATCTAAAAACAAAATTTCTTTGATTAACATACAAATATACAAATTTTCCTGATTTACATTTTATATTAAAAGCAAATACATGCATAAATTAGTAAATAAACAATACCTAAAAAAAAACTAACAATTTTGATAGAGTACAAGCACATAATATTACACAATCATTTACATTATAGATTTATTTATAGAAAAACTTATTTAAACTTATTTTATTTAATATATATTTGTTTAAATATATTAAAATATATTTCGTAAAATATAAAAAAATCAATCCAAATACACAAAAACAAGGTTTATTCCTTTCTTTTTCATATCGAGTCAACTAGAAATTTAAAATAAAAATAAATATACCATAATATATAAATATATAAACAATAATATAAGTGTTTGGGTAAGATTTTATTATTTAGCAAAGCAATAATCTATAAAAAACCTTAAAGTTGTTTCTCTAAATGAATGATTTACGTAAGGTCAATTTTTTGCCATTGTTGGTGCTAAATGCCAATACTAAATTTTAAATTAAAATAAATAAAAATCATTACAAATTCTTCAAAATCAAATTCCAATAATTAATTACAAAATTTACCTACAAAATAATCATTGTAGTCAGATGTAAGCAGAAATATTACGTTGATGAATTTGGTAAATCTAAAAGAATTAGTCAGCTTATTAAAATCAGAAAACAGTTCTAATAAGGAACAAATAAAATGTTGCTACTGATTTGTTAGACAGCAGATAAATAAGGAAAAAGTGTAAAACTCTATTTTAACTTTAATAAAAATTATATATATATATATATATATATATATATATATATATATATATATATATATATACATACATATATATATATATATACATACATATATACATACATACATATATATATATATATATATATATATATATATATATATATATATATATATATATATATATATATATATATATATATATATTCGTGTGGTAAATCTAAGTGTTGATTCTATGAAAAGCATTACCCTCTAATTCAAACTAATTAGGTCAAAATATTGAAACAAACTTATACAATAAAGTTAATATTATTTTAAAATAATCTTACCTTTGAATAAACTCTAATGAAGCAAAAACATTTGGATGATATTGCATATTCATTACATAATGAACAGCAAACAATGCCCCAATGGCTGGCAAAGCATCAGTGAAGGTATAGCACACTTTCTTTTCCACCAAAATATAAAAATTTTCTGAATCAAGCCAAGTTCCTGTGCACCAATCAATAAAGTAAACATCCAATTATTTTTATTCTTTTATAAAATATTTTGATTTAGTAATTTACATTTTGGTATTTTGATATATTTTATTATATATGATATATATAGTTCTCAATGTTAGTCCAAGTCAAAAATTACCTTTTACAACAATTATAGGATGTGATGTTGGACAATTTTCTTCAATTTCTTGAATTGATGCTAAACGCTAATAATAAAATAAACAACATTTAAACTTTATATCATTTAAAACAAAATAAAAAATTTATAAAGAAATACATACATTTACTGATTGTATCAAATGATCAGTTTTATCGCCAAAATAAGCTATAAGCAGAGGTAGCCACGCCAAACAAACAGCTCGTGCAATTCCCCCATTTTCCATGCATATGACTGTTGCTTCAAGCAGAACTTGCTTAACTAAATCTTTACTACAATTAATTGAAAAAAAATTGTAAATAAGACTTGATTTGGTGCTGATTGTACTATTTAACCTTTCCATTAATGAAAAATTCATCAGAGTGGAAAAATGGTCCTGAAGGTATTCTATTTGAGATAGAAACGGCCATTCAATCAATACTTCTGCAAAAGGAATGACAGCATTTATTGTTTGACGCTGTAGTGAATAAGTATCCGACATAAATTTTTTAACATCATTTGTATTCCAAGGCAGAATTCTATAGGTTTGTTGAGGCTGTTCCTGTTACAAAAAAAAAAAAAAAATCAAATCTCTAAAGTAAAATTGATTATAAATCGATATAATAAATTCTTACCTTGATATTTATTAACTCTACAGATTGACTAGATAAATTTGGGTCCCAATTTTCAATACTATGAACATTTAAATTCATTCTTTTTGTTAATATAACAGGTGTACTTGAAAAAGAAACATTTCGATTTGCATTTTCTTTTCTGGATTCCATCCTAAACATTAATGTTTCAACTCCATTGGATATTACTTTTCCATTTATTTCATCTACAAATGAATCAGGAAATCTAAAATAAAAAATGTTAAATAAAGTTGATATCTAAAACTTGATTTATAAATCTTAACTTGAGTTTTTATTAATCTTATGAATAGTATTAATTTTATTTATTAAAATGAAAAAAATATTTTTACCTTGAAACAACCTTTTGAGCTATAATACGCAAATTTTGTCGACTTGGCTTACGATCAAACAAAAATACATCACTCATTAATAATCCAACCATTTGTCGGATATTTGACACAGTAGGCTTTTTCTTATTGTTTAAATCTTTCAAAAAATCTAACGGAAACTTTTCCCAGTTTACAATAAACGATTGGGCCCAATCTGAAGATGTAATAATACTTGAATTGGAGGGTTCTGGAGAGATCAAACTTAAAGATGATGGACCATTTGTTAGTAATAGTTCAACTGGTTGACAAACAGACAAAAAACGTCTAGACTTAATTGGAGGAAGCAATGTTATTAGGTCTTGCTCTTTTAAATATTTCAAATCCCCTTCCATCTCAAGGCCTAGCAACAATAAACCATTGATGACTTTAGTAACTTCTTGAGAATCCATTGTAGGAAAGACACTAATTTGTTTTTCTCGTAATAAATTTTCCATAATCTCTGAGAAATAAATCCATAAAAGAAGTCACGTAAATTTTTTAATATTTTATAAAATAATAATAATATAAATGTATTTATATTTTAATACTATCATAATATCAAATATAAAATTGTCAAAAACATATTTATAAATTTATTATTTATTATACACATTTAATAAATGCTAACTTAAACAATAATATAACACAACTTAAAGCAGAAAAAGTTTTCATAACTAAAGACTGTTGATTTAAGTACATTTTGCAATTTTATTTTTTTAATATTTTATTTCACTGTTTACCTGATTTACAACTCTTTAATAAAAAATTATTGAAAATAAAGTTTTAATATATAAAAAAAATAGTACAAAAACAATATGTTGTCTTTTTTATTAGATAATGTCCAAGCATTAAATGTTCTGAGACTACTGCTGTTGTGTGAATAATTATTGTTGTATTTATTAATTAAAAAAAAACAATTAAAAATATCATTTTGTTTTAATGTCATAAACAATTATATGAGTATGTAGATAATAAGGAAGCTATTAAATACATAACAAGGAAGCAACAAGAATTTAAAACAAGAATTCTAAGTTCATGAAAAGAAACAAAACAGAATAATTATCATAAAAAAACATTTTAACTGAATATAACCAATACAAATAAAATTAATAGAAAAAAAAAAATCAAGACTATATTATTTTTATTATTTAAGACTAATTTAATTTTAGTTAACAAATATAATTACTAGAAAGACAAAAAAACTCAAGACTAAATTATTTTTATTATTTAAGACTAATTTAATTTTAGTTAACAAATTTTTCATTAAGTTGAAGTATCTTACACAGATAAATAATCATTTAATCATTTGTCAAATATAGCATGTTTCAAATATATAATATATAGCAAGGAAGCAACAAGAATTTAAAACAAGAATTTAAATTTCATGAAAAGAAACATAAAAGAATAATTACCATTAAAAAACATTTTTAACTGAATATAACCAATACAAATATAATTAATACAAATAAAAAAACTCAAGACTAAATTATTTTTATTATTCAAGACTAATTTAATTTTAGTTAACAAATATAATTACTAGAAAGAAAAATTACTAGAAAAAAAAACAAACTCAAGACTAAATTATTTTTATTATTTAAGACTAATTTAATTTTAGTTAACAAATTTTTCATTAAGTTGAAATATCTTACACAGATAAATAATCATTTAATTATTTGTTAAATATAGCATGTTTCAAAGCTAAATATACATTTGAACCAATCTTATAACCCCATAATGGGCAATAATCAGCTAAATTGTCAATTGGTATAGAATAAGGTCTACTTGCCAAGTCGCATTCCACTAGTACCAACCCATAATTATATTTCCATTCAGAATGGTATTTTTTTAGCACAAGGCAAAACTGATTTTGACTAGAAAAACAGATAAAATAATTTTTCCAAATATAAAAACTCCCTCGTTGTGATGTATTAAAACAAACTGGTCTCTAGTATATGTGGTCCCCTTATATGTCATTTTAAATGAACAAAACTTCTCTGTGTATGGAATAGCAGCAATTGCTTCTGTTATTTCAACTGAAAACATAGAGCCATCAAAACAAACAGCATCTGAACCACCGTCATTATTATTAGAAAATGAATTTTCGCTACATACGTATGACTGCAACAGTTAATGAGCCCCTGCTAAATGCTTTGTGATATTAATAAAATTTTGAGCACTTCTATCAGATCTTTTAAAGAATATGTGCTTACTCTCCATTCTTAATGTCCATAGTGTTATTTGAGGTCCACACTTCATAATCAAAAATGGGTAATGATACATGTAGTGGTGTTTAGGACGAAGTGGAATATCAGGGAATAATTTTTTTCTTTGTTCAAGGTACTCATTAATTAAGTGTTGCAAAAATAAGATTTGAGATAATGAAACTTTACTTGCACAAATGAGCTCTGTTATTTCTCTTAGCAAAAGTATAAGCTGCCATACAGCATGATTAAAATCAAAAATTCGATCCATTAAAAGCAGGGGAAGAAAACGTAAAAAAACCCAATTTTGAACGGCATGACCTTTTAATTTGTCACATTTAGATGTTAATAGCGCTGGACAATCTGCTCTGTCATCACCACGGAAAGAAAATCTTCTTATTGCACCATTAATATGTAAATAAGTAAAACAACCATCCTTGACTAGTTTTTTTATTGACAAAGCTAAATCATATTGAATGACACCTTCAAACAAATCATGTGCAATACAAGCCGGTAAACCTGGTGCACAAACATGATAGGAATCCAATTCATTGAATATAGAGTCTCGTGTCACACCAAAAACAAACCGATCTTCAGGTTTTGCCTTTAAAGTTATAATACAACTTTTATGATGCTCAACAGACCGTATAACAGCTGTATAAGGTAATGTTTGAAGCTCATTGCCTTTCAAAAGACAAAACCTGCAAATATGGCCTTTTTTAGAATTAAATCCAAGTGAATATCCACCTAAAAAATGACTACCTAAATTATCTCCTAAAATAGCAACAACACCAGCTTTATAAAGTTTTATACCAACTAGAATTCCGTCAACTTCAAGACTTTTCAAGTCTCTTATTAATTCTTTAAAAACTGTAACTTGAGAAAAAGACTTCAAATTTTTATCCCGACATAATTGCACAAGATAAATATTATTTAAGATGGTTCTAAGATGAGGTGGCAAATTTGCAACGACCATGTATGTAGCTGAAATTTGATGTTTATTTCTTCCAGAGCCAAGGGGATTAACTAATTCAAAACTATCTTGATATAAAATCAGATGCAATGAATTTGGATGCTTCTGAAAAAACGGGTTGTTCAGAAATGCTTCTCCATCAAAATAATCTGAATATGAACAAGAACTTGGATTGATATTGGCCTGTTGAGAGATTAAAGAAGCAAAATTTGTATTTTGACATATTCTTTTTAATGTTTCTTTAATTGGAACATAATATGTGTAGCATTCAAAACCATGTTCGTTTCTTCCTAAAGAAATTTCCATAGGTCCAACAAAATTCATATTTTTTTTATAGTATTCTTTTCTGATATACGTAGATCGCAATAAGCCTCTGTCTTTAGAAAATCCAATTACAAATGGATCTTTCATTTTCACTGCTTGAATAATGTTATGTACATCTTTTTCAGGAATGTAATATGACAATTTCTCAATTAATATCCTTTCAGTTTGATATTGATTTATTGTGTTCAGATTTAACATTTCAGTCACAATAAACTGAATTGTTGTTGATGGAATATGATATTGGCATTGTAATTTTAATAGAAATAAACCAATGTTATGAATCATATCATTAATATTAAATTCATTTGCATCAATGTTTTTATCAATATTTAAATGATCAAGATTAGTTTCTGAAGATGAAATATTTATTTGGCTTTGCTCAAATGTTGTTTTGTGGATTTGATGACATCTGGATAAATGAGCTGTGAATGAAGAAATAACTTTGTAACGGCAAGTACATTCTTCATATGGACATTTAATAGAAACCCTTTTTTTAATATGTAGTTTTAAATGCACTATAAGTTCATTAAAAGGTAGTTCAACTTGACAAGTCAAAACTGAACATATTCCTATCTTTTCTATATTAACAAAGTTATTTATTGATTTTGTAATATTGCCAACAACATGGATACAATGAATATGTGAAGTAAAAGCCCTGAAAGTACTAAAAGATTTTTTGCATCCAATAATTCCGCACGGAATCTTATACGCACAACTGTGAACACTGTAATGTTGTGCATAATACTGCAAGGAAGTAGTCTTGAACTGACATAAACTGCACGAAAGCATTATGACATATACAGATGAATAATATTATTCTAAAAACAAAAATATTATATGATAATGTTATTTTATTATAGAAATGTTAATTAATTACTTTTTTTATTTTCTTAAAACAACACACACACACATAAACACACACATATATATATGTATTTATATATATATATATATATATATATATATATATATATATATATATATATATATATATATATATATATATATATATATATATATATATATATATATATATATATATATTATGCATATATATTATATATATAATATATATATATAAAAAAGGTGGCGGGATGGTTTTCAATAATTTTAAAATACTCGCCTGTCTAGTCAATGTTATATTAGGAAAGGTATGAAAAATTGGCGGGATGGTGTACAATTTATTAAAAGTAGTATATAATATATATATATATATATATATATATATATATATATATATATATATATATATATATATATATATTATATATATATATATATATTATATATATATATTACATACACATATATATAAATATATATATATATATATATATATATATATATATATATATATATATATACATATATATATGTATGTATGTATATATTTATGTGTATATATATATATATATATATATATATACATATATATATATATATATATATATATATATATATATATATATATATATATATATATATATATATATATATATATATATATATATATATATATATATATATATTTCTAGAATACACAATAATATTTATATTAATAAATAAAAATTACAAAATAGCAATGCTGCATATTTATGTAACTACATATGAAGCATTGCTATAAATTAACGAAAATGTCTTTAGAACAGTGTAAGGAGCAGTTTATTTGTAAAAACTAAAAAATATATAATTTCTTCAACTAAAAGTTTCTAATTTTGTGGCTCACTAGGAAGCCAGATGAACTTGCTTCATCTTCCTGGTGAAGAAGGAAAATAAAAATAGAATATAGTTTTTTGACTATATTCTATTTTAAACGTTGTTGCAAACATTTTTTACTATTGCAAACGTTATAAAAAATCCTTGTTGCAACAAGGATATTTTTAGCAATATACGCATAGCTAAACTAAGCTTTTTATGAAACCATTACAACTTTTTCGTAAATAATCGAAGGAGGTGCAATTGTCAATTTTTATAAATAAATCTATTTCTTTTTGGAGGCAATGTGTGCCCAAAAAATGTGAGCCCAAAAATATTTTTGAAAAATCACAACTAATGGCGGTTTAACGTGTTAACTGCATGCCGAACTGCATTTCTTAATACAACGGAAAGTTCCGTATTTAAAAAATTAGCTGCAAAAACGGAAAACTTCCGTACATAATACATCTGTACAACCATACATGGATATACGGATACTTTCCGTCGAAATAACGTGGTATATTTCCGTTTTTTAACGGAATTTTTTAACAGTGTAGTGCAGAAAGAAATAGACACAAATTTTAATGTAGAGGTCAGCTTCCTGAAATGCCAGAGTAAAAAAACTTCTAAATTTGTCAAACCTAGAATTAATGACATTCGTAGTGTGAATAATAATGATATAAAAGCAGTCCTGCCTCAACCGCTTGCTGGAACAACATCAAGAACAAAAGCTGAAATTGTTTTTCAAGTGAACTTTGGCATCTTAAATGTAAAATAACTTTTTTCTTTTTTTAACATAAAAATTTTAATTCTTTAAATGTAATCTTAATTTGATGGAAAAAGGCATTGATAATTTGATTTTTTTTCCTATTATTTACCTCTCCAAGGGGGCCACCTCAGGCGAGGAGGCTGCGCATTTTTTTTGCATTTTTAAATATTTTTCTTATTGTATTTACAATCCTCTCTTAAACCCTTTAACTCGGAAACACGAACCTTTGCGAACAAAGCAGGCTGTGCGGAGAAAGTTAACCGTGGTACCTTATGGGACGTGGTGGGATTCCAACTCCAAACATCTTGCTTATAAACCAAGCGCTCTACCACTACACCACTGCCGCGTTTAATTTAAACTAAACTTAATTTTAAAATCAAAATTTGCTCAAATTAACATTTAATTAGATTTGAAGTCGTTTTATATAGTTCCACATCTCCCCCAAATGTCTCGCTTCTCCCGCACACTTGTCCCACTTCTCCCACACTTGTCCCACTTTACCCCAATAGCAGGGTTCCTCTAAACCCAAAAAACATATACTTTATTAAAACATTCTGTCAACCTTAGAGGGTGGATTCGGTGCCCCAAATATTGCTTTATTTTTTAAGACTAGTTTGATTCAGTTCATACATCAATTAAAAAAGATATTGCAATTACCCTGAAAAAATAATTTGTGTCCCACTTCTCCCCACTTTTCCCTACTTTACACGGTAAGCTGTGTACTAAATTTTTAGTATACCATAAACTAGCGATCCCTAATTTTTACACCTAACAAATTAATAAAATAGCAAACATTTTATTAATAAGTAAAAAACTAAAAACAATAGAAAAAACCTTCTATTACCTTATTGAGCTTGGTGCCCGTGCTACTATAACTATCGCATCAATTTTATTATTTGTAGACATGACTACTTTATTAAATAATAACACTGGAAAAGTTAAAGTTATAATATCACTCTGATAACAAGTTTTTATCACAAAAAAATATTATTAAAAAATGTCACGCAAATAAATGTCATTTTTTTTTTTTATTGAATACCTAATTCAAATAAATTTTAATAACTAATTTGATAACTTATTCCATATTTTCGTTTATGTTTAACTGTGTTAATAATGTTAACATTTCGTATTAGCGGATATATGGCGCTCATAATTTTTTAAAAACTCGAAGTTTATCAATGAATTACCAAAGATAAATATATTTGATTGAAGTGATCGGACGTGTTTTTGCAGCGTAACAATTATTTGTTATTTTGATTCTTTTTATTTTTATTTTTTTTTTTTTTTTTTTTTTAACAAACTACTACTAATAATAAATTTTTGATATGGATACTAAAAGTATTGAAGTACTTGTTGCTGGTTTACTTGAGAAACATAAAAATTCCAACTTAGATGAAACAAAAAAACTTTTAAAAAAACAAGAAAAGAGTTTTGCATCCTTAACAGCTGCAAACTTTAAAATGTTAACAGAAAGGCTGAATGAATATGAAAAAGATAATATAAATAATCTTCAAAAGATTAGCAAAATTGAAAATGATTTAGAGTTAACAACTAAAAAAGTAATCTCTCTTGAGGCTGACTTTACGGAATTAAAGAAATACATAACGACCAGTGATCAAATTGCTACTGAGAAATTCGAGGTAGTAAAAAAGAAAACTAAAGAAATAAATAGTAAATTAAGGGATAAAAGTGAGTTATTAAAGGTAAAAAGCAAACTAAGAGAAATTGAAGATAGATCGAGAAGGAATAACCTGAGAATCGACGGTTTAAAAGAAAATGATAAAGTTGGAGCAATAGTGAAGAAAAAGTGTTGAAGCTATTTGAAGAATCACTTGGACTGAAAGAAATTAAAATTGAAAGGGCTCACAGAACTGGAATCAGAGACGGCAAAAAAGTAAGATCTATAGTACTAAAATTACTAAATTATAAAGATAAAGAAAGAATCCTAAAAAATTCTTCAAAATTAAAAGGCAAAAACATATATATAAATGAGGATTATTGTGCGGAGACGGTACAAATAAGAAAAGAATTACGGATGGAAATGAAAAAAGCTCGAGAAGGTGGGAAATTCGCGTTTATATCATACGACAAGTTGATTGTACGAGAATGGTCTCCAAAAGAAAAGTAAATATTTTATGTTTCTTCTAGCTTAACGGTACCTTTTATTTTTCCTTTTTTTGATAATCTTTTATTAAATTTGAATACTGAGAGTGACTATTTCAATAAAAAAAACTTTGAAAGTGAGTATTATTCAATCCGTGAAGCTACTCATTTTTTGTGTCAAAAAAATAAAATAAATAGTTTTTCAATTTTAAATTTAAACATTCGAAGTATCAATAAAAATTTTGATAATCTAAAATTATTATTGCATGATCTAAATCATGATTTTCAAATAATTACTCTCACGGAAACGTGGTTGAAAAGCAATGAAAAAAAACTATAATTATGAGCTAAGTAATTACGTGTCAGTCCACCAACCGCGTCAAAACCACGTTGTCGGTGGTGGTTTAAGTATCTTTGTTCACAAATCTATTAACTTTGAATTGCGTAACGACCTCAGTGTTAACGAAACAGATTGTGAGTCGTTATGCATTGAAATAAATAATAAAGCGACCAAAAATATAATTATTAGTTCTATTTATAGAAAGCCATCTGGTAATTTAAAAAAGTTTCATACCTATCTAAAAACATTTTTAAGCAAAATTAACATTACAAAGAAACACGTGTACTTAACTGGTGATTATAATTTAAACTTGTTAAATTATGCTTCAAATCTAAATGTTCAATGCTTGTTAGATACACTTATACAATACGATATCATTCCCACTATAAATAAGTCGACAAGAATAACTAAGACTTCGTCGACCTAAGATAACATATTTACTAATAATTTTCATAATTGCCCTTTAGAATCGGGTATAATTAAAACTGACATAACAGATCATTACCCAATATTCTTAACTACAGATAATATAACCCTTAATCATTCTGTCTCTAAATCAACAATATCAATGCGACAAATCAATAAAAACTCCATAATATATTTTCGAAATCTTTTATCTGAAAAAACTAATTGGGATCTTATATTACAATCGCAAGATGTGAGTAATGCGTATGAATTATTTTTGGCGCAGTTTTGTAAATAAATTTTTCAGATTTGGCATTTCCAGTTATAAAAAAAATTATAAATCCTAAATCACTTTTAAACCCTTGGATGACCAAAGGTTTACTCAACTCATCAAAGAGGAAACAAAACCTTTATGAAAAATATTTAAAACATAAAACATATAAAAATGAAACAAAATATAAAAATTATAAAAACTTGTTTGAAAAAATAAAGAAACAATCTAAAAAAAAATATTATGCAAAATTGCTTGAAAAAACACATGGAAACACACAAAAGA